GCCACCAGATCTGAAAGCTTAAGAACATAACATATGAGCCCTCCAGCCAATGGCGAGCTCTCTAAGAGGCTCTTTGAAGCGAATAAGTGGCTGACACTCAGCAGTATACTGGCACTTATGTAAGACATTATAGAAATGCACTCTCATCTCGGTTCTTTAAATTCAGCTTGTCAGGTGACAATTAAAACGTGACAGGTGAAGACGAAGATTAAGTTTATGAGTTAGTTGTGGCTTAATCTTTGCTTTCTAAAGCTCGGTCTGTATTTACACACAGATCTACACTTGCACAAATACCTGTATACATGCAGCCCTGTGGCTTGTTCAAGTTTGAAGACAAATACTAAAATGAAGTACAGAGATGTGCATAAAAGTATAGCCCTGAATCATATGTTACATCCTATATCTAGAAGCCAAATGTCTTAAGTTGCACCGCTGTGAACTGATATTCTTCCTCTGGTTTTTGAGGTTGAATAAAAGATGTTCAGATCGTGTGATTTGGGAGAAGTGGAAAGTGACTCTTCTGTTGTATGGTACAAAGGATGGTGATTTAGGAGTGTCCATCTCTCATGAAATGGCTCGACAAAGCCCTGAAACATTCTGGCGTGCAGACGATTGTTCAATTTTGATTCAACTTTGAATTGTTTTAGTTCCCTAACTTCGTCTGAAAAGAAACCAAGATGGACTGTTGTCACAGTGCATATTCTTTCAGTGATTTGTGGATTTTGAAAATCTGATCTTCTAAAGGTTCTTTATATCTTTAACTTATTGTTTTATTTTAAAATGTATAAGCAGCCATTTGGATGTGGCTTATATGATTTTGCGGTGTCTTGTGATGACACGATAATAGAAAGTTACGAAAGTCACCAAACACGCTGGAGTTCTACCGTTGTTGCATGCAATTGCAACATGATAAGGTATTTCCCTGCAAAAAGACCCCAAATCTGATGCAACATGTTAGTAAGAAGAAAAGGCTGTGACTATGCTGTGCACTGTGATAAGCTTAAAAAAACTAAACATGCAGTTGACTGCTTTAAAAAAAAACAACTTGCGAACAAGATTACGAACAGCTAATAATGACAAACAGCTAATTGTGTTCGCACAATTGACTAGAGGGAAACTAATGAACAGATAATCACATGCACTTACACACAATTTTTGCATCCCCCACATCTCTTACATTGCGCACACACACACACACCTCCCATCCTTCCGTTGCCATGTTAAAGTGCCTATTCAGAGGGAATAGTAATGATTCCCTCCAATCAGGAGGCTGCCCCAGGTCTAAAGGACTCCCATTTGCAGCAGCGCTGCATTTGGAGGATTAGAAATACACCACAAGACACCGCTGTAGTTTCCAACGTGCACAGTAAAGCTAACGATATCATCGTTTCAGTGTCCTGCAGACTGTGTGCTTATTGTCCGACTAGTGCTGCGATATATGTCGATATTACATTCATCGTGATATGAAATATAGACTTAGATTTTGGATGAAGTAATATGGCATAATTGTTGTCTTTTCCTGGTTTTAAAGGCTGCATTACAGTAAAGTGATGTCATCTTCTGAACTCTAGCTGTCCTCTCATTTGCCTCTATACCACTTAGTCGTTCTATCCACATTACTGCTGATTATTCATCAAAAGTCTCATAGTGTAAATATTTAAAGGTACCAATGGGCAACTTCTGATTTTTGCTTTTCTCCATACTGCACAGCCCGCGACACTGACACTCGTCTCATTTCAGGAATGTGATATAAAAATAAAAAAACTGCCATCTGGAAACACTAACACGAGAGACCCGAAGGCTGTTTTTTCTTTTTAAATGAATAATGCACCGTGTTCCGTCTGCAGAACAATCCTTAAGGCGAAAACAAGTGTGTTTGATAAACAACCGTGTGTGTGTGTGTATGTGTGTGTGTGATAAATAGCTGCCTCTGTATCTCTTTGACTGACTGGCTGTCCGCTCAGAGATTTAACTCGTTTCTTATTCGATGGTAATTTGGTGAAGATGGGTCTTTTTTGCAAACGTTGCCTCTCCCAGCTGTGGCCTCTAACTTTTCTCTAAAGGCAGCTACATTGCTCAGCGCTTGACACATAATATACTGCTACTCCCAGCTAATGTATCGCCTTGCAGGTGGTTGCCAAAGCGTTCCTATATTTTACAGCATAATAGATAACCTCTGAGCTCTTGAAAGACTTGCGATTCCTCCATTATTATGAGCGCTTCTCAAACAGCCTGGAGCCTTTCCACCGTTTGCATCACTGTTCAGTTTGATGATTGATTCCGTTTTTTTTTTCTCTTCTTTCTCCAAACTGTTTTAAGGCCTGAGGAAGTCTGCCTGCGAGGATTTATGGCCTCATTTATGTGAATGTGTTAGAGAGTCGATTTACATTTTAAATGGAAACATTACCTTTCCTTTCCCCCGGATCAACGGGCTGTTTACGAGTCACTGTAAACACAGACACAGTAAAGATGTCATCGTAGTGTACATTTTATGGTGCCTGCCAGTAGTCTCCGCCTCGACATCGATTTGGCCCGCTTTTCCTGGCGGAGGTGTCTGACGGAGTCCTAAAATAATTTCGAATCGACTTGAATTGTGAATCCAGAAGGAGTGCAGTCACTCTTCAGGCCATCATTTATTATTGAAACAGCAGTTGACACAACTCCAAAAAAAGGCCTGCGATGAAGCGAATGAAGTTTGCTCTGTTGTCATGGAATGCTCAATGGTTATATCTCCATTTTAGCACTTTAAGGACTTTTTATTCTTTGGCAAACAACAGGGACTGGAGCACACTAATTGATTTTCAGCTTTTAATAGCTCAAACACACCAACGTTTCGACACCACTGTGTCTTTATTAGTCAAAAGGGACAAAGACTTAAAGGGATAATTCTGATTACTTGATATGGGGTTCTATGAGGTATTTACGGGGGAAGCAGCTCAATGTTATTTTAGCCAACTAAAAAAGAATCTCAAATCTATATCTGTTTAAGTGTAGCTATGTAGAATATATAAATAAATATAAACATGTAGTCAACCTAGAATAGGTGTATAACTGTCATTGGACAGTCTGTTGACTGTCGGATTTCAAATGGGGCCCTCTCTTATCTGGACATCTCGTCTGGGTTTGCTTGATGAAGATCATTTGATACGAGCTAAAGCTCCAGAATGGACCTTTTAGGCGAAGTCGACATTTAAAGACATCACTGTAAACCAGTGAGCACATGACGACTGATGCAACCTGGTTCTTTGTATTCTGAGCTGAAGCGAGTTCTTCTGTCGACACTTGGCCACAGAGCTGTCGTTGACTTTTATTGTGTTTTCACTATACTAGCGTCCTTGTAATGTTGTTGAAATCAATGATTAAAGGTGATAAGTTAATACTTTGATATAATCCATTAATTAAGTGTGTAAATGCTGCTCATAGTCTTAAAACACACTCATGTAAGCTGACATTTTAAGTGTTTAATGTGTGTCTCTAATTGTAACTCTACTAATAACACATCTATAACTGGTGTACAAACAGATTTGATAACATATAACAGTTGGAATTAAGTAAATGAATCATTCGTACATGTTTGTTATTAATTTGAACGCACTAAGGACTCATTTGTATGTGCAATCTTATATCATTGTGTATGTTTATGTTGTACGGTGTTATTAAGCATTACTTAACTGGGTAATATCAGTTACCGATATTTCAAAAGAGGATTAACAAACACTTACAAATGGATATAACAAAGCAATCTAAGCTTACGGTTAGTGTGTTACGAACCACTTATGAAGTGTTAAATACGGGCAGTTAAAATGAAGTGTTGCCAATAGAAAAACTAGAAGGTGCAAAAATACACCTTTTTAAAAACAAGACGGTCTTGCTTGAATGAAAGAAAACAAAATTGTATTATTCTCAAGTGCTGCCTATAGTGGACAATCGAAATATAGCAACTGACATCAGTTTACAGCTTACCAGTAAAAATGCTAAGGGGCTAAAGTGGATGTGTGTGCGTGCGTGCGTGTGCGTGTGCGTGTGCGTGCGCAAGAGAGAAGAGCAGCACGGTGATCCAATGCCAGTGAGAGGATGCCGAGCAAACCAGAGTTGCATTTTTGATGGCAGGAGGGAAGTGAGGCACGCCATCGCAGTGAGTGGTCAAAGTGTGAGTGTGTGTGTGTGTGTGCGTAGTCTGTGCTGTAAAAAGCACGTTTTTATAGATGCACTCATACAGTATTTGACATCAGCACACACACACACGCATGCAGTCAGGCACAGCATGCATTAGTGGCGTTATGGATCTATGTGAGAGGACCACTGTGGCTCCTAATCCAATCATGTGTTTCCAATGGCCAGCGGCAGTTCGTTACAGTGTGGACTAAACGTCTCATATTGATCCGTGGTCAACAAATGTTCATACAATATTCAATTATTCACGTTGACAAAGAAGCTCAGGTCCACATTGAGCCTGTGTGTGTGTGGCAGATTATGGTACTTGCCTGAAATGAGATTCAAAGGTCAGTGTGGCTAACATCAAACACGCACACACACGCACACACACACACACACACACACACACACACACACTGCTTTGAGGCAGACAATAACATAGTTTGTTACAGGTCATTTCAGCCCCACTCACTTGATCAATCAATCCACCTGACAGCTGTCTGTGCTGCCATGGCGCTCCCTCAGGTGTGAATGCTCAAATATTATTTGATTCCTTTTTTAGATGACAAACACGGAAATGCCGGCGAACACAGCTATAGCCTTCATTTACCACAAACACATCAGACTACGCAACGTCTCACAACAATATCGGTTGCAATCTAAAGCCTGTAAAAATCCAGCTCCGTATGAGACGGCGGTATTTTCCACACTCTGCAATCCCTCCATGGTTACCTTTTTTTAATAATGATAATAAAAACCCCACTCTGTGAGCCGCTGCTCCAAAATGCAGCGGCTCACAGAGCAGAAAACCTCGTCCGTCCAAATGCACATGAACAGAAACTTACCCGCTGTGACTCGAGGGACGCAGAGACAGCTGAGGACGAGCAGGGGGACAAATCTCTCCATCTTTCTAACGCTTGCACGACGTGTGGTCCCATTTACAGCCGAGGACGCTGCGTTATAAACGCCGGTGTGCCGTTGTGGCGCCGCTCGGCGTTCTCGTCAGTTCATGCGTATCGTCTCGACTGGGGTGGTGGAGGTGGAGACGCGGGGGAGGAAAAGGTAAAGGGGACAGCGACCGGTCTGTCGGGCGGCTTTTCAGCACCTCGAACAGCGCTCCAGGCGTCACCTCCGCGCATTCAAATGCCTCGCATGTGCCAACGGAGCCACGGACGGCGCAAACGGAGACCGGAAACCAGCCAGTGAGTCATATAACCTGTCGACTGTTGTCGAGCCTGTCCGCTGTTCACATGCGTCTTCGGTCCTCCAGCTGTGCACCCCCCAAAAAAACTCCCCGATCTGCTGATGATGATGCTGCTGGTGATGGTGGTGGTGATGCTGGAGGTGGTGCTGGAGCGCTTGCTCGGCTGCTGCAGACCGAGTGAAACGTGCTGGCTTTGTCTATATGAGCGTCTGGACCGTCCCTGCCTGCCACACTGACTCCTTCACGGTGACAGACAGACAGACAGAGAGAAGAGGGAGGCGGCAGGACGTTCAGGACAGCCGTCCTCAATAAATCATAAATGTCGGAAAAAGTGGAATAATGAAACTTTGTGGATTTTCTATACTTACAGGCCTGCCACACTGATCCCATTGTTTTCATATTGTTCCATTGTTATGGCTGACTTTCCCCAGAGGCTGGCCACCAGAAACAAAACCCAGCCAGTCCAGCTGGTCCAATGCAAACTTGTCACCAATAAAAACAAAAAGCCCCCCCCCCCCCCTCCCTTGATCGGCTACTGTCTCTTTCGCTCTCTCTCTCTCATCCTCCTGCTTTACTTGCCCACTTGCTGAGCCGGTACTCTGAATTATTGCTGCCCACTCATCCGCTGAATATGCATACACTGGCCCACGCAAAAAGTCTCTGTGGCGCTGCTTGCAACCGCTTTTCTCCCCCCCTCTCCATTTCAAAAACAAACATGCACTTGACTTCGCCGCTGAGTTGACCCCCCCTCCCCTTAGTTGTCCCATTGTTTCAGAAGCACAGAGAGCGCATGATGAAGCGAGTGAGGAAGTGGATAAAGTCTGCATACAGTACCTGATGGTTTCCCTGCAGCGCGCTGTGCACTTGAAGCATCCCGGGATAATATGTGTGTGTGTGTTTGAGTGTTGGGGGAGTGTCAGTCCCCGAGTCAAGAGAGACCAGCACTGTCCCCTAGCTGTGTCCCCAAGAAGTGTTTGCTTCACCCCGCTGTGTGCCTCGATTCATAGCCGGATGCCTCTGACGTGCTTCTGAGGAACACTGGTGGTGGTGGAGGTGGAGGGGTTATTGGGGCTGCTTTGTTTTTTTTTTGTTGCATGTTTCGCTCTCCTGTAGGCTACTGCTGCTCTCTCCCTCCATCTGTGTGTGTGTGTGTGTGTGTGTGTGTGTGTGTGAGAGGGAGAGAAAGGGAGAGTAAGAGAATTTGTCCTGTACAAACCACCTCTATCACCGCCATAATGTATCCACGAGCTGCAGCAGCAGCGGTGGTGGGGGAAGTATTCATATCCTTTACTTGAGTTACAGTATTCGTGTAAAAATACTCCTTTTTACAGGTAAAAATCCTGCACTAATAAAAGCATGTTTCAGCAGCACAATACTGCAAGTATCAAAAAATACACGTGTGCTTAATGCATAAAAATGTCCTTGTTAGGGTTATACTACTATGTATTATAATAGGTTATATTGCTGAGATGTGTAATCGATGTATTTGGTCGAGGTGGAGCTACTTTTGACAGTTTCATATCATTTTTTGTAATTTGAATTTGTACCACTGGATCATATTTTATATACTGATCATATGCATTATATGTAAAATCTTTTAAAAGTAAATAAAGACGTTGAAGATGATACTGACTGAAATAGCCGGATCTGGTATCGGTGACAATAGGCCGATCTGCTGTCGGATACCATTATTTTAAATGGCAATTCAGTAAATTCTCATCTATATATTTACTTTTTTCACGTTTTTGTTTTACAAAGTCAGGAGAGCAATGTTTGTATCGAGCTTGTTGTTGAATGATAGTGTCTTCTACACAGAGAGGCATAATGCTTATTAATTAATTAAACGCTGGTATCGGATTGGTAGCAGGTATCAGCTGATGCCCAAAGTTCATGTATCGGGACTGAAAAAGTGGGATCGGTCCGTCTCTAGTAAAAACTACAATGTTTTCCCCTGAAATGTGGAGGAATGAAGTGGCAGGAAATGGACACAGGCTGCTCAAGTGAAGCGCAAGTACCTAATTCTTTCCCTTTTCATACTAATGCACTTGGAACATTGTCACGGTATTCGTGTTTTTTTAGTGTCAGCTACAGTAGCTAAGCTAAATGTTGCCCTTCAATGAGGCCCTCAGTGTTACACCCATATCATTTTGCTAAACTTTTTGCTTCACATATTGTACATTCTCCAGAACCATTTGGGCGCGATTCAGAGAAAAATAAAAAGTGAACATTATTGTTGGCGCCAAGACTCGCCCGGTCGCCGCCCCCTCACTGCTTCGGGCATCCTTCGTCCCCTCTCTTCCTCTTTTGTGCTCGGATCTCTTGGCTTCATGCCACGATGTCTTTAAAATCTTTAAGACGTAACTGCCGTCTTTATAAGTTGTGTTATCGTCTTACCGCTCATGTTTCTTGCCCTATCTGACTAGTTTTCAGCAATGTCACCGTGTTCAAAGATCTCAGCCATTAACTGTTTGTGATTGCCAAAGTTACAAAAATGAGACACAAGTTGTAATGAACTGGAATGATCTGTAGGGCATCAGCCACTACTATTGCTTAAATGGGGAGATCGACTGATATTCAGACTGGACGAGGAACCAGAATAATGCATCTGAGATGAATCCTTTTTGTTTCAGTGTGTTTCAAAGAAATGGAGAGTTTTATCTGATATCTTTCGGACACTAGCGCTGGTAAGAAACACACAAAGGTTCACAAATGAGAACAGGAACCCAAACCTGGGGGTTGAGGGTTTTTTTTTGTTCCAAAATACAGAATTCTGACTGTCCATTCATAAGTTTGCATTCATAAACATGATCCTTGACAAACCGCTAAATTTAAATGAAAGACCCTTTGGTGGCTGAGTGTTAATCTGCTCATGCTCTACAATTTCTGCAAGCGAGCTTTGAGATCACTTCTCTCTGTTTGAAATAACGGGTCATGTTCATTTTCAACACAAACGTCTGTGAGCATCAACAAGGTGTTTCCATTTCAGCAATGCATATGAAGCAAATAGAAAATATGTTGCAGGGTAGAGGAGCACACACACACACACACACACACCTAAGGCAGATGTACTTCATTCATTTCAAGCCCAGGCATCACAACGACAACCCTCTGAACTGTCAACAGTTTCCACACCAAAGGGGAACTCTCAGGGATCTCTCAGAGTCCCGGGCCAACTGAATGTTAATGGTCTTTTAACTTCAGCACTCAGCAAACACATAAAGGACTTAGCCCAAGCGAGTAATTTGCTTCTGGAAATTCCTCACTGATACTTTACAGTCTTCTACATTAAACGCAGATCAAGCAGAAAATCTGCAATAAATCTGATGTCTTTATGGACATTCTAGTTCATCCATGTTGCTGTGAGCCTCAACCTAGCGGAGCGGGACGTTGTTTATCTCAGCGTGTGTGTATGTGTGTGTGCTGGTGTTTGTGTTTGGTGAGGGAGAAGGATTTGTATGGTCCCTGTAATCACTTTTCAAGAAGGGGAAGTGGCGGGCAGAGGGCTGGTTAAGTTCTGGAGGTTATGCTCAGCTTCCCCAGCTCTTTGAAGTGTCCTTTATGCCAACGCTGACTGTAGGAAGCTCTGAATATGCGGCTCACTGCTATGACAGAAAGGCCTGGGTCACACCTGTCAGGGTGGTGATGTGTCGGGACGCCCGATGCAAAAGCAAACGGTGACGGTTGATTTGGTGCAGCATTTGTGGTAATTCAATGTTTTTTTTAACCATCTGTCAGCAAGCGCTCCTTACACTGCTAAAGAAAAGTGACCCAGTACAGACAAAATAGATAAGCTTAGGAAACTATTGTGACTGACTACCACGTGTGGTGGCGGGCGTGGGTGGGCTCAGCTGTGGAGGGGACGGAGTGTGGGAGTGGTTCAGGGAACGGTGCCGGGAAGAAACTTAATTAGGCGCAGCTGAAACAGATCCTGATTGTCTCACTCTCGGCTGTATTTAATCACCAGTAGGGATGGAGGCGGGGGGGACAGCTTGGGACGAGCGACAGTGGTACAGCAGGACGGGAGATCACTGCAAACTCCCGCGGCGTGTGCTCGGAGGCAAGGCAGGAGAGCACACGGCCAAGCCCAGTCAGATTATATGACAATAAAGAACATTTGAAACCGTCACTCAACTGTGTGCTGGCGTCATTGTGCTCACAAGACCCACCGGGTAGCAGGGAACCTGTTACACCATGTTTTTTAAATTGATATGGTAATGCATAAAACTCCTTTTTAGTAAACGCATACATTAGAACTATCTGTTTGAACAGACCGAAAATACACCGTTACCTCCTCAGAATAAATTGACATAAAAACAATGTCACTATTGGGATTTTTAATATATAATAATTTAACAATCTGTTGAATTATGTATTCTATAACCTGTATGCTGTATCCACACTAACGTTAAGAGGAATAAACAAACAGGTGAAGTACTTAATCTCTTATGTGTTTGCTACATATACACTCCTGTCTGCAGCACAGGAATGAGTTGAAAAACATCTCGGGTGTTTTGCTTAGCCTGCTGCTGCCACTGCGACCAAATGATGAGGTGTTTGTTCAAAGGTCAGCAATTAACCTCAACCCTGATCCTCCATTATGGTCCATAAATACATTTTTAGTGGATACAAAACAAAGAAACAAACATTAGCCCATGGTTATTTGAGACAATTCAGACATTCTGTTATGCATTTAATTTGAAATTGCTGAGGCATGGAGCTCAGCCATTATCACTTATTGTCACAAAGTAAGAACTCCATCTGACCAAGCACCACGGCCACAGAGGATTATAAAAAAAAACCAAAACAGCTGCTAAAATCCACAACCTGCACAATAGCATTTTTTATTTTTTACTCAAACAGAAGGAAACAGCAACTGGAACACCACGGCATGAATATTTTACACGCCACATGAGAGCTTCCCGGGACTTTTCTGCCTTTCAGAATGAGTTTAGATTATGAGCTCTGGCAGGTTGCTCAGAGGTAAAGACCAGGACCAAGAGGGGATTCTTTTTTTATTTTTTTTTTGAGATTGGTTCGGGTTGGAAGCGGGGATGGAGGGAGTCTGAAGCGAGGGGGTCTTCATTCCTGTTTCGGCTTGATAGGATTGGGACTGAGGCCCAGAGAGACGAGACGCAACAAATTCTGAGCTCTGACGGCAGGGTAAGGTGTGATTAAACCTGCGAGAGGAAGACAAGAATGATAATTCAAGTAACAAAACCAAAACAAACACCTCTACTTTCTCCCCTCCTTTTCAGTCTTGAAGATGTTGATTGACACCCACTGTTGACACACCAGGAGGAGCGAATATGTGTTGGCTGTGCTCACAGGTGGAGCAACCGTCGCTCCTGGTATGATTGAGTT